AAAACATACATCAACGTCATGTTTAGCTACTCATTTCTGAAACAACTTCGGTAGAAACTCAGTTTTACTAATCCTTGGCCTCACTGAATGGGTGCAGAATATCTCGAATTTTTGGATCTCTGGTTTGGCCTTATTTTAGTAGAGGCTGGTCTTTTTAAATTCTCAAAAATCAAAATTTGGCAGGCAACCATGCTGCCTAAGTTGGCTATAATTTGCGGTATGGCCTCTTCCTCTTCGTTTTTTTACATTTAAAGGATAGAGTTTTGCAATATGTTCTATTTATTCCAATTTCCAAAACCATCAGATATGCTATTTATTTTCCTTAGATAATAAGCTAATATTTATGATTAATCAGTAATAGATTGATCCAGTGTTCCAAAAATCAGAAATAGGCCCTGACTGACCAAGGTTCGATTCTGATTCGACCCATTTGACCTGGACAATTCTAGAGTCGTGTCAAGCTGTATTTAGCAAAGAAATTATAAAATGAAACTAAAAACTGGAGATTTAGCTGATTCCTAGTTCCTAGAACCATAATCATCTAACTAATGATCCTAATCAGTGATCAGAAACTTGGCCTAGTCCACTCAGACTTGGCTGACTTACTCGGACTCGGCTCCTTGCTGAGCCAAGTACTCGGGCAAAAATCGAGGTAATTAAAAAAAATTATTAAAATTATATGAAATTGTGGAATCAATATATAAATATTTTATATATGATTTGAATTCTCTCGATTATAATTTATGAGTTTTTCTTATCATATGCCCTACTTTTATATTTTCCATTTCTTTTGGATTTTCTGAAATATCTCCAACAATAAACCAGTTTTTCTAAATCCATGTTTTACATATTTATTCAGCTTATTTAGAATGTTTATGTTGTTTTCGATTCAGTTTAATTTTTGACTAATATATTTGCCTTGAACACTACTCGGGCGAGTCCACTAGACTTGCCCAAGTAAGTCAGATAAGGCCGAGTCCAGGGCCCAAGCCGAGCTCCAGAACATTGATCCCTATCAATCTCAGGCGATTCCTAGTCGGAATACTAAAGTTTCAATCAGTAATTGGATCTAACCTTCTTTTTTTTTGTGCCTACAAAATTTCAGGCTACTTATCTTGAAGAGGTTTTAAGAGAAGGATTCTCTCATCCATCTATAAATGGGATAATGCTATGGACTGCTCTACACCCAAATGGATGCTATCAAATGTGCCTCACTGATAACAATCTTCACAACCTACCAACTGGTGTTGTGGTAGACAAGCTTCTTAAGGAGTGGGAAACCAAAGAGGTAAAGGGTTTGACAGGTGATCGTGGGTCCTTTGATTTTCAAGCATTTTTGGGGGAGTACAAAGTAATTGCCACATTTGGTGCTAAAACAGTGGAGTCAAGCTTGTCTGTTTGCCAAGGTGATGAAACCTTACACATGATCATTCCAATATAGTTAAGAGATGATTGAAATGATTAATCTTCGAAAAAAAGAGATATTCGAAAGGCTTATTGGATGCTTTAAAGAAAAAAATGAGCTTCTTTCCTAACAGAAAAAAAAGAAGAGAAAAAAAAGCAGAGGAGTTTATGTGAGAGTGGTCAACTGCTATGCCTTAAGAATTTGTCCCTCTTGCAAAAACATGTTTATCTAACCCCACTTCCAAAAAGGATGAGGTGATTTATTGGCTCTTTTAATGTGAGTTTGTTGATTTGGCTAGGTGGTTTTGTGTTGGGCTTTCAACCAATCTAAAGTAAACTACTCTCATTTTTCTTTTTCTTTTTTGGATAATTCAATAGGGAATACAGGCCCTAACCTTTTTCAAATAGTTTAGGAGTGAGTTTTTTGATGGTATTAGTTGGGTGGTGTCGGCAACGTGGTGATTAGGGTGTGAGAGTGCTACCACCACGACCCAGCCCCTTTCCCCACTAACCATCTTCATTTTTCATTAGATTTCTTTGGCAAGAGATGAGTGGTCTTGACTAACTTTTGCGCTCATACTTTTCTCTGGTTCACTCTTTTGAATTATCAAACATATTCATTTTAAGAAAAAAAAGTTAACACTAATACAGGAAAAATGCCAAAAGATCATATACTCTGGTGGGAGTATATTTAAGAGTCACTCCCTCGGGTAAAACTTTACAAAGTTTCTTTATGATTCTAAATAATGGGATATCACCTCTTCAACCTAGCAACCAACCTAAAAAATGAAAATCATGCGCCTTATATGTTTGGCTGAAAAAAAATAAAATTCCTAAGATTGAAATGTCCAATTTTCTTCAGGCTAAGAATATAGGGCTCAAACTCTAATTTTAATTTATGGAATACTCATCTAGTGATTTTAAAGTGCATTGATTGAGACAATCCTCCTTAATAAGACTTTTTCCTGAGGGATTAGATATACAGCATGCACCGCCAGAACATGATATACGTGCTCAAAAAATTTATGAAGTATATGGTATAGCACTTCCAAGAGCAGCTAATACATAAGAGTTATTTAGCAAGGCCGAGGCCCTATACAATCAAAGTAGGGCACATCTACAAATGGTGCCAAGATATATTGTTTTAGTATCATAAATTTTTATGATGGCCTGGAGTTTTATTTTCATATCTGATTATAAAATCAAAGTTTAAAAATGGTGTAGATCGAGCAAATCTATAAACATTTGAAAATTTTGAAAATTGACGATCTAAATAATACATTACTATATGCACTATTTTCACGACTTGAAATCTATTGTTTTTCATGTCCACACATCTATTTTTCAGCATCAAATAACCTTTTCTAATGAATTTGAGGTGTGCCTTAATTTGATTGTTTAGGGCCTCACCCTTATATAACCTTTTTCTTTCCTGTTATGGCCATATCACACTTGGTAGACCCCTAGAATTTAGACGGCAAACAAGGTCTCAGTATTTAGGGAAAAGATATGGAGGATCACGCTGTCCATTTGTTCTCTCAGCTAAAGGCAGAAGTATTTTGGGATTCCAAAATTTAAGGATGTAGTATCTTAAATACAAAGACGGAAAAATAACGGTCCAGGTCTGAATGAGACCATCAATTATTTGGATGGCAAGATTTAAGTTTTTGAGAACTCAAAAGTTTTTATTTTTTTCCCGAAAATCCATATTTTCTCCATGCTCTCACCAATTGAAAATGACATTCAGACCCGGTAATTGAGGATGAATTAATTGATATGTGTAGAAAGGGAGAGAGGGTTGTGGGGCACAAGAAAATGCAATGGTCGGGGTAGGTGTCTGAATGTCAACTGAATTGGTGGTCACTAGGACCACAAGTCACTGCCTTGGCATTCATGATACAATTTGTCCACTATAAGTTCAGAACTTTTGAAACCAACAACCGAAAATTTTAAGCGTGAAATTTCTCCAAGGGATTGTATATTATAAGACCCTTGTTTAGTACAAGGATGTCACAATTATTTTTACGAATTGGATGTGAAATGGAATTGACGCGTGCCACAATATTTGAAAATTTTTATTATCGACTTTATGCCCAAACAATGACTCATCCCCAACTACTCAACTCTATATCTAAAAACCAATAATGATTAAGATCTTCCTTTACCAAAAATAAATAGTCTCATTATATTTTCATAAATTTATTGTATATACTTCATTTATCAAAATACCCCAAAACTTTTAACAATTTAATAATTTACCTTCTCTTCTTATTTCTGATGATGTAATTGTTTTTGTGTAATTTTTCTATCAATAAAACCTTGAAAATTAGTGAAAAAGAAAATTACACTTTTCTACTCATGATAATTTGTTATTTGATCATTTCCCTTATCAAATTACATGGGAGTGATTTACTTTTGGTAATAACCTTCGTTTGGGGTATACGGTTAGCATGCCGGTGGTCTCGTGTACCAAAATGTACATTTGTCCTACGTGCACAAATACCATATCCGGGGGAACTTATTTGACTTGAAATTTTGAAAGTCCTCTTTCATTCTTAACGCAACAATTGTATGTGCATTTGTGTAAGCTAATAGCATGTACAATGCTCTATGTTATCATAAAAGAATGTTTAATTTACGACACACAATAGAATAGGTTTTATTGCTTTATTTGGATGTTAAGACACTCAAGATTATTGTAATAAGATTTCAATATTCTATCAAGTTGTCATAACATTTTAATTAATTTACAAAGATTTGCTGCTCCTGCTAGAGCGTACTGTGCAGTTGCTTCCTCAGGTAAAATTAATGTTAGGAGTATTTTGTAGACACATAATAACCAAAGGAAAAGAAAAGAAATTAAATAGAACTCTGTATGTGCCTCCCCTTAAATAATTAACATTGATTGAACAAGAACCGTCAAATTTTTGGAGGGCAAGATCTAAGTGTTCAAGAACTCTATTCACTTATTTATTTATTTATATAAACAATCTCTTGATGATATTTAGATGGATCCCAAAATTTTGAATTAAAAAAAACCCTCTCAGTTACTCTTTTGCTTCAGGGAGTTGTTGTACGGTATTTATTGAGTTCTATCTGATCTAGTTTCTATAAAGCCTAGCTTTATGAAAACAAAGTAAAGCCTCACCTCGAATCCTCGTCTTGAAAGCACTTTGGGTATTGGAAATCTCCATGATGGCTCTAAAATCAATTTCTAACATTGAAAAATTTAAAGCTAAAAACATGGTACAGATCTTGCAGACCCCATAAACACTTATTTTTATGTTGGAATGGACGATCTAGATAATGTGTTACAATATACACTATTTTTAGAGGCTTTAAATCCTTTTTTTTTTACAACTATAATGTTTAAGGCCGAGATGATGGATTTGAAGGTTTCATGACGTAAGAATAACTATTTTCAGTTAGTTTTATGGTGAGGCTTTACTTATTTTGATAGGGCTGCATATGTATCAATGTTATTTCAATCATAGAATCCAAGTTGTTTCAGACATGGATCATTCTCAATAATAGTTCAAGTATTTGTCTTCATGACTCCTGGAAGAGAGTTGTAATTTCAATTAAAGATTACTTACCATCATCATAGTTTTTGTTCCAACTATTTAGAGTCAATTACACGAATCCTGGTCTGCAATCATGCTCTATCAAGGTCATATTCTCAGTGAGACTATGATTCCCCATATCTTTTCTTACTAGTTCTAACCGTGTCCTTTTGAGCATATCCCTTCATATTTTTAGCCTTTCGCTTAAGCTAACTCGCACCTCCTAATAGGTGATGTACTGGGTCTGCGCTGCACATCGCTAGCCCACCCAAGTCTATCGTTTCTCATCTTATCGTCTATTGGAGCCACACCTAAGTTCGCCCAAATGTATTCATTTCGAATTTTATCATTTATTGTCTTGCTACTCATCTCGACTATACCTAAGTTCTCTCAATGTATTCATTTCAAATTTTAATAATTTTATCTAATTTTTAGGTTGGCGAGAATTGTTCTGTAAACATAATTTTCCTAAAGGTTTAAAGAAGTGAAAAGATTTGTTGCTCTCGAGGTGGCATATTGTGCATTTGCTCCTTCAAGTAAAACCCACGTTAAGAATATATTTTGGATACCAAATTTGAGGGTGTAGCCGACAGAACCTAATAACCAACCTCAAATAATAATAATAAATAAATAAATAACTAGGACTCTCTATGTGCCTCAAAAATATTAAATCCCAAAGTTGAACATGAATCGTCCAATTTTTGGAGTCTAAACTTTTTTTCTTGAAATTATTTGATGATAGTTTGGCATAAAAAAAATAAATCCTCCCAAATTACTCTTTTGCTTGAGGAAGTTGTTGCACAGTATGCTTCCACAGGACCATGCTATACACGCTCTTGAAAGAGAGCGAAATGGGGGAATTAAAAATGGACCCGGTTTCTATGCGGCCAAGCCTGCATATGTAGAAATGCGGGCCTCTTAATAAATATATTTTTTAGATGGATTTTAAGACTGAATTTTTAAGGACATTTAATTTCTAACATGGAGATCATGAACATGAAAAAATAAATAAATTAAAAAAATTAAAAATAACAATTCTAGTAAGAAAACATTTGGACCGATAGTTTCTATTATTTTTAAATAAAATACCTACTTGCATCCAAATGCTTTACACTTGCTTGACCGCATATGTAGAAATGCGGTCCAAACCGCATGAAACAATTTTACATTAAAAATTCACGCTCACGCTCCTAAACATTCTCCCTTGTATATGGGAAAGGATTTTACTATGTTTACAGGGTAAAATCTGCACTGCTCAAATTTTGCTGCCATGGCCATTTTGTCTATGGCATATATTTCATCTACGCAAACAAGGTACGAAAAATTTCAAAAATTTAAATAAACTGAAAAGTTGTTTCCAAAAGAGAAAAATAATGAGCATAATTGTTTGATGAATAGTCAGATCTAAGCCTTAGACTTTTCTTTTTCTTTTTTCAATCCTAGATTTCGTAGATGGCCTTATCCTTAACAAATAAATAATAACAAAAAGAAAACAATAATTTCGAGTTATTAAAGGCCTATAGCTAACTATCTCATCAAATAGGCAACACACATTCGTTATAGGAAAAGTTTATATAAGTTTGCAACCTTAAAATTTAGAATCACATATGCATCTCAACATCGAGATGTATGAGTATGAAAAAAAAAAGTTTATGAGTCCCAAAAATAGTGCATATTGCAACACATTATCTAGACCATCCATTTTCAAGATTTTCATATATTTATAAATCTACTT